AGGCTTGCGTGTGGAGAAGAAGGCATTTGTGCAGAGACCTGGGGGCCGAGCATTGCTGGTGGTGACAACCGGGTTCAAAGGCTTGGGGCAGGAGCTCCAGAGGTCTGAGCAGCTGAACAAGGCTGGGGGTGGTGTGGGATGAGGTGGGCAGGGGTCAAACCAAGGGGATTGCTTGACCTGTGGTGAGAGTTGGGATTTTAACTCTGCAAGCCATGGGAAGCCCTTGGAGGTGGAGGGTGTTCTGTCTGTGGGTGTGGCAAGCGGGGCATGGGGGAGAGATAGGGTGGCTTGGGGGTGCGGAGGTGAAGACAGGGCGAAGCTACGAGATGCAGCCCAGGTGGAGCTGACAGGCTGGCTATGGAAGGAGGTGGTAGAGAATGCCGTTTGAATGAAGCTTCATCATCCTTCTGTGCCCACTCGCGGGACCCTGCCTCTCTCTCTTCTCAGCATCATGGCAGAACAGGATGTGGAAAATGATCTTTTGGATTACGATGAAGAGGAAGAGCCCCAGGCTCCTCAAGAGAGCACACCGGCTCCCCCTAAGAAAGACATCAAGGGATCCTACGTTTCCATCCACAGCTCTGGCTTCCGGGACTTTCTGCTGAAGCCGGAGCTCCTGCGGGCCATCGTGGACTGTGGCTTTGAGCATCCGTCTGAGGGTACGCCTTCTGGGTGTCATCCTCTTGCCCAGGTCCTCACCAAGACAAGACCAGCCCTGCCCGCCCAGAGCGGTGCTGCCTCCAGTGTGCCGTGGGTGAGGGAGGGGCCTGCCCGCCCCTTGGATCAGTTGTGCCCAGCAGGGCCTATGGCTGCTCTCAGCACCGGGGTGCTCTGCTTTGACCAGGCAGATACCCTAGCCCTGCAGGTGTCTATGGCCTTGTCCGGACTTGGCCTCTTCTGATTGCCCTCACTGTGGGCCCCCTGGTCAACTGGTGAGCAGCCTGCACGGGGGTGTGTCCAGGTTCTCGTCTCTCACGCTCTGCTTCTCCTGCAGTCCAGCACGAGTGCATTCCCCAGGCCATCCTGGGCATGGACGTCCTGTGCCAAGCCAAGTCCGGGATGGGCAAGACAGCGGTCTTCGTGCTGGCCACCCTACAGCAGATTGAGCCTGTTAACGGACAGGTGGGTGGGCTCCTCCCTTCCCAGCCCCACCCTACCTGTGGCGGCCGAAGTAGAGGGGCTGGATGAGGTGGCTCACACCTGTTAGCCCATCACTTTGGGAAACCGAGGCTGGAGGATTGCTTGAGGCCAGGAAGTCGAGGCTGCAGTGTGCTGTGATCCTACCACTGCACTCCAGCCTGGGTGACAGAGGGAGACTCTATCTCAAAATATAGAATAATCAGTTATAACAAAAATCAGAAATTGCCAATAAGCCAAAATAACTGGAAAGTGCCCACAGTTTGCCCCTTGCCCCAGAGGTATTGCTGCTGTTTTGCTGTGCCACCTACCTAGAGAGTGTCCATCTATGAAGGTTGGGTTGCCCCGAATACAGCTGTCACTGCTGTCCTTGCTGTTAGGCCCTGGCTGTCTTCTCCCTTTATCTTGTGTGCCACTATCTTGGGGAGACACTTCAGTGAATTCTGGTGTCTTGCTCCTGAGTCAGGTCGGGTGCACATCTTTGGGCCTCATATTGGCGCCCGTGCGCTTGTTATCTCAGAGCACATCCTGACGGATGAAGGTGCCGTGGAGAGCTGCGGTGTGGTCCAGTGTCTGGTGGCATGGGTGGGAAGACCGGGGCTGGGGCCGCCTGAGTGCCGAGATTCAGGAAATCCTTAAAGAGCTGGGTCCCATGTCACCTGGGCAGGCCAGGTCTAACCATTATGCGGGCCATTTTCTGTTTCTCGTTGCGGGTCCTAGTGTTGGGAGACAGGTTTCAGTAGCTGTGGGAGGGTATAGGGAGTGAGGGTTGGAGAAGGGCCGTGAGAAGGGGGAGGCATTTGGACCGGGTCTTCAAATGGCCTATGATGTTGGGTGCAGTATGTTGGGGGGACTGGGTTGGGTGGACTCTGGTGGGGGAGGGGTTTAGGATACTGCCTGAGGGCCCTTTTCTCGTGCGACTTCCCAGGTGACGGTCCTGGTCATGTGCCACACGAGGGAGCTGGCCTTCCAGATCAGCAAGGAATATGAGCGCTTCTCCAAGTACATGCCCAGCGTCAAGGTGAGCCCCTCAGGTTGGACTTGGTCAGGCGCCGCTTGGTTTCTGCAGCTTTGTTAGCCTCGGCTCTGGCCCTGCCAGCATTTACCAAGCTTGGCAGGGGCAGCTGCCTTTGAGGTTTGCGGTGGTTTTTGCTCCTTAAAAGCCTGATGAATTATGCATGGCTCCCAGGGGCCTGTGCAGGTCCCAGCCTGGGGCTTCCTTTGAGTGGAGCCCCGGGAGGCTCTCAGGCCTGCCTTGGTCCCCTGAGGCCTCCTGTTCACAGGTGCTGGGGTTGGGTATGAGGTGCCCTCAGGGGCTGCTGGGGCTGAGCTGGTTGGGGCCTTGGGCCAGGTGTCAGCATGGAGCACCTTCCTCCTCCTCCTCCCCATAGGTGTCTGTGTTCTTCGGGGGTCTCTCCATCAAGAAGGATGAAGAAGTGTTGAAGAAGAACTGTCCCCATGTCGTGGTGGGGACCCCGGGCCGCATCCTGGCGCTCGTGCGGAACAGGAGCTTCAGCCTAAAGAATGTGAAGCACTTTGTGCTGGACGAGTGTGACAAGATGCTGGAGCAGCTGGGTGAGTCATCTGCCCTTGCAGCCTCAGCTGGAGAGTCAGTGACTAGGCGGGCCCCATAGCAGGCGGAAGACTCTTGAGTGGGTCACATGGGTGGCTGGCAGGCGGGGCTCCTGTGGTGATCTTAGGGAAAGCTCTGCTGCTGGCAGAGGGACGTGCTGTTTCTGAGCCCGAGCCGAATGGGACCACGGGACCCAAATAAGCCCCCGTCCCTCCTGGACGTAAAGGCACGCGCACATACCTCTAGGAGTGTGAGACTTCTGCCACCTGTTGGGTTGGTTCTAGGCCCCACCTGCCCTCAGGGAGCCTCGACAGGGCCGGTGGGAGATGGGCTTGTGTCCTGGGAGGCAGCTGCAGCTCTCACCCCAGCGGCTGTCTCTGCCTCAGGCTCCCCTCCCTGAAGCGTGTCTCGAGGCGCACGGGCACGGCTGCTCCGCGCCAGCGCGTAAGTGGATTGCAGCTCCTCCCGCGCCTGCGCTCGCTGGCCACCCCCCCAGCCCCTCAGGCACCAGGACTGGCCACTCCCGCGGCTCACTCTGCCCTCGTCACGGTGCCACTGGCTCCCTGGCACAGGTTGGGAGGGGTCTGGGTCTGGTCTGGGGTGGGGGTCCTGCATGGCAGACGCTCATGCCCACGCATGTCTTGCCCTCCCCACCCAGACATGCGGCGGGATGTGCAGGAGATCTTCCGCCTGACACCACACGAGAAGCAGTGCATGATGTTCAGCGCCACCCTGAGCAAGGACATCCGGCCTGTGTGCAGGAAGTTCATGCAGGATGTGAGTAAGGCGAGAGTGGCAGCTTCGGCCTTCCCCAGGGGCCTGGAGCCTGGGGCCCCAGGACACCCGCACAGCCCACATGCCTCGGAGGATGCTGGGATGCTGGGAGCCGGCGGAGCCTCCTTTCCTCCCCTCGGTCTTGTCAAACTGGGAGTCAAGCTTGGTCCACACCTGAGCCGGGCCAGAGCTTACATCCAGGTTTTGAGCGATGTTTACTGAGGTCTGGTGCAGGAGGCCCTCTGGGAAGCGTCGCACAAAGGAGTCGCCCACTGGAAGGTTCTGGGCAGGCGAGATGCCCAGAGGTGATCCCTGCCCGCCCCTCCCACCTCCCTTCCCACACAGCCCATGGAGGTGTTTGTGGACGACGAGACCAAGCTCACGCTGCACGGCCTGCAGCAGTACTACGTCAAACTCAAAGACAGTGAGAAGAACCGCAAGCTCTTTGATCTTCTGGACGTGCTGGAGTTTAACCAGGTGACGCTTCCATCAGCCCGTCCTGGGGCTCTGGACCATCGGGAGGTCGCTGGGCCGCCGGACTGTGTGTCCCTGACCGCCACTCCTTCCTTCAGGTGATAATCTTCGTCAAGTCAGTGCAGCGCTGCATGGCCCTGGCCCAGCTCCTCGTGGAGCAGAACTTCCCGGCCATCGCCATCCACCGGGGCATGGCCCAGGAGGAGCGGTGAGTGCGAGCCACCCGCCAAGGCTGCAGGGAGCGCCACCCAGGAGCCCAGTGTCTGACGGCCTCCACTTGTTTCTCCTGCACCCCAGCCTGTCACGCTATCAGCAGTTCAAGGATTTCCAGCGGCGGATCCTGGTGGCCACCAATCTGTTTGGCCGGGGGATGGACATCGAGCGAGTCAACATCGTCTTTAACTATGACATGCCTGAGGACTCGGACACTTACTTGCACCGGGTGAGCGGCCTCACGGGCATGTCGCTTTCCCCTGGCGGTGGGGTGGGGCCCCAACCCTGCTTTTCCTTAAGTCCTGAGGTGTTATCTGTGGCCTGACCCTGATCCTGTCTGCCTGCAGGTGGCCCGGGCGGGTCGTTTTGGCACCAAAGGCCTAGCCATCACTTTTGTGTCTGACGAGAATGATGCCAAAATCCTCAATGACGTCCAGGACCGGTTTGAAGTTAATGTGGCAGAACTTCCAGAGGAAATTGACATATCCACATACAGTAAGTGCCTTGGGCAGGGCAGGGGGCTGAGGCAGAGGGTTCCTACCCCGGCCCTTCGGTTCACCGCTTCCTGTGTCTTACAGTTGAGCAGAGCCGGTAACCACCACGTGCCCCGCCAGTCCACAGCCGCCCACCCGGAGCTGCCCACCCGGAGCCGCCCGCATGCAGCTTCACCTCCCCTTTCCAGGTGCCACTGTTGAGAAGCTAGAAATTGTGTGAGAATAAACTTGTTATTATGGAAACCTGGCTCCCATACCATCTGTTTCTTAGTCATCTCGGCCTTTGACGGACACACTGGGCCTGGCGTCTGAATCACCACCAGCAGGCAAGGCCATCTTCTGTATGCATGTGTTTAATTTTAAGTGTCAACATTGAAAAGTTTGAACAGATAAAAACACATTACACAACATCCACAACCTTTACAACAGTGAGAACCTCCTGCCTGGGCAGGCAGGGCAGGCCTCTGTACCGTGAGCCTCAGGCAGTGGCCCCAAGGGGCTCTGCCATGGGGCCTCTGACATCAGTCTTCGCTTAAGAAGGAAGCTGAGCCCCAGCACCTAGTCTTTTCAGTTCTGCAGCAGACGTGAGAGGAAAAGTCCAGGCCGGGACGAGCCCTCAGTCTGTCCTGAGTACTAGCCCCAGGTGCCAAGGCAACACGCTGCAGCCCTGGGCCAGCCCCTGTACTTGCCCTGGGTCACAAGGTGGAGGAGAGAGGCAGCCAGCAGTAGGACCAGTGGCTCTGGCTCCACCCCACTGGGTGTCCTGGACTTTGATGCCAGACTATAGCTGCCACTCCCTCCTGGTGGCACACACGGGGCTTAGGGAGGGAGGGTGGAGGGAGCAGAGCGGTGGACGAAGGGAGGATGGATGGTCTTCGTGTACAAAGCTGCTGCGGCCACAGGAGCTGCTGGACCGTCCAGAACCATGTGCTTTCATATGCCAGACTCTGACGCCCGGAGGGCCTGGAGAGGAGAGCCCAGTGAGACCTGAGCCCTGCCAGCCCTGGTGCCTTCCTGCCCACACACCCGCCCCAGGCGCAGCCCCTTACCCGCGTCTGATTGTGGCCAGTGCCAGACGTGGTAGAGGTGAATTCTGAGTACTTGCTCCCGCTGGCAACTAGGCAGGCCCACTTCCGGTATTCCTCCCGAACCTGCCGGCCCAGATACCCAGTCAGGGCAGGAGCAGGCCCTGGGACCGTGCATGCTCCTCCCCATGCTCTGCCTTTAAGCCCCACCTTGGTGTTTTTGTGTGTGTGTTTTTTTTTTTTTTTTTTTTGAGATCGGGTTCCCCTGTCGCCCGGGCTGGAGTGCAGTGGCACTATCATAGTTTACTGCAACCTTGAACTCCTGGGCCCAGGTGATCCTCTTGTCCCAGCCTCCTGAGAAGCTGAGGTTATGGGTATTCACCACCACACCCGGCTATCTTTTTTTTTGAGATGAGTCTCACTGTCCCCCAGGCTGGAGTGCAGTGGTGCCATCTTGGCCCACTGCAACTGCCGCCTCCCAGTTCAAGTGATTCTCCTGCCTGAGCCTCCCAAGTAGCTGGGACTACAGGCATGTGCCACCGTGCCCGGCTAATTTTTGTATTTTTAGTAGAGATGGGGTTTCACCACGTTAGCCAAGGCTGGTCTTAAACTCCTGACCTCAGATGATCTGCTCACCTCGGCCTCCCAAAGTGTTGGGATTACCGGCGTGAGCCACCTCGTCTGGCCTCACCCTGGCTATCTTTGAATTTTTTGGTAAAGACAGCGTCTGGTTATGTTGCCCAGGCTGGTCTCGAACTTCTGGACTCAAGCAATCCTCCCCCCTCAGCCTCCCAAGTAGGTGGGAGGATGACAGGTGTGTGCCACCGTGCCCAGGTCCCCACCTTCTTGTTGAGCAGGCAGTGCAGCAGGTAGAGGAAGGCGCCCTGCAGGCAGTTGAGGATGGTGAACACATAGGTCAGCACCAAGCTCCGATCATCGAAGATGAACAGGCCAAAGACCCAGGTGCAGCCCAACAGGAAGAGCTGCGCGATGGCCGTGATGGTCAGCGCCCTGCGGGGAGGGGGGTTGCAGTGTGGGCCCCCACATCACCTCCAGCTTCATGCCCCTCACCCCGGCCCCGCCTCCAAGTCCTCCCAGCCCCTCCTCTCACCTCGCCTTCTTTAATTTCTTCATGTCTGGATTGATTTCAGAAAACTTCTGAGTGAGCTTCCAGACGGTAGTCACGAAAAT